GAACATCCACAGGTTTAGCATCAGACATAGCAAATTTACTCAAAATCTTATCAATGTAGGAATTTTGATTTAAAACAAGAGTAGATTTCTTTCTGTCTCTAACAATATTCATGCCAAGAATTTTTCTAGCATCTCCTAAATCTTTCATGTCAAAATTTTTGCAAAGATAATTTTGAACATGCTCAATAGACTTTAAGCTAGGACTAATGATTAACATATCATCCACATAAAGGAGAAGAAAAACAGGAACAGAGAAAGTGTTCTTGAAGTACAAGCAGTGATCAGCATTACTTCTCTTAAAACCAAAGTTTTTCATGCAATTATCAAATTTAATGTTCCATTGCCTAGGTGATTGTTTTAAACCATACAAAGCCTTTTTTAACAAACACACATGATTAGGCAACTTATGATCAACAAATCCTTCAGATTGGTGCATATAAATATTTTTATCAAGATCACCATGTAAGAAAGCAGTAGTCACATCCATTTGTTTTAATTCCCAATTATACTGAGCTGATGCGTAGTAGGTACTCCTTTGTATCCCCATTTATCGTGACTTCCCAATAACCTTTGTATGAATATCTGCGAGCTGATGCGTAGTAGGTACATGAAGGGTGCGAATCTCTCCTCGCAAAAGCTCATCACGAACGAAGTGAAAATCAATCTCAATATGCTTCGTGCGTTCATGAAAAACTTGGTTAGCAGCAATATGCAGGGCCGCGGTTTTGTCACAACGAACAGTCATATTGTTCTTATGTTCAACCCGTAGACACCACAACAAATTCTTCAACCACTTCAACTCACAAGTAAGAACAACAAGAGCCCTATTGTAACGCCCCAAAAATAGGCCTATCAGAGTTCATTAATTTATAATTAATTAATTACTGAGAAGGACCCAAAAATAAGTAAATTCTAAGGTTTGTCAATAAATAATGAAAATCATATCATTATGTAGAGTTTGACTGTCTGATCCCAACGGTTCAATCGGATTTCAATTCGGAGAAAGTTGGACCAAAAAGTGTTCCCCGACTGGGACCAAATTAGTCCCAATCAGGGACTTACGTTTAGAATCGGAGAAGGTAGCAGCCCACTCCACTCAGCCGCCGAAACAGTCGAAAGGATGTCATCACCGTGTCTGCTTCCTCTTCACTAAGGCTATATAAGGACCACCTCTTCCTACCCAATTCTTCACCATTTCTTTCCAAATTGCTTCTGAGAGTTAGCTTTGAGTGTGTAGAACGCAGTGGTGCTGTCATCTTTGTGTGAGGTCGTCGGAGCAGTAAGATAGAGTCGCCGGAAGTTTCGCCGGAAAATCGTCAAAACCTACCTTACGCTTCGAGGTAAACCCCTAGATATATCTAATGACTAGAATGTTCATATAGGTCGTTTCTACGTTCATAAATGGTCATTTGGTTGAGTTTTGTGTTTGACATGTTTGAAGAACCAAGAATCATAAACCTTGATATTGATGTTAAAAATATGTTTTAATAATTCTAATATGATCTATGAACCTTGGAGAACATCTCTATATAGTTTAATTGAAGTTCAGTGACTAAAAATGGTTTTCCCGAAAAATGGACCGAGGTTGAAGACGAATGAACAGTGGCTGAAAATCCACAGAGTGGATCGATCCCCTTCATTGGATCGATCCTCTGGGAGTTTTTCTTTTAGTTGGATCAATCCAGAGGGCTGGATCGATCTTCCGAAACTCTGGTCCGAAAATTTGTCTGAAATTGCTATTTTTGAGCTCTAAAATCCTATTTTTGATACCAATTGATTATGATTATTATAAAAATGATTTTTCATAACAAAAATGATGTTTTTAACAAATTAAAACATTATGTGATGCATGACAGTAAGTTCGGGTGTTAACACTCGAGACTAGGCTGCTAATTGTTATTAAATGTTATGTTAAATGATTATTATGATGAACTATTATTGTGGCCAATTATGAATGATTAACCTACTGATTGGTATGATTATTGATTAAATCATGATTAAAAATGGATATAATGATGATTATGAAATTGATGTATATTATTAAGGATATCTAGAAGAACTCTAAGATATATCCACTTGTATAATGATGATAATTATTAAGTATATCTAAAAGAACTCTAAGATATACCTCCTTGACCAATTCATATTTCGGGGTTAAAACGTACGTACGGGATCCAGAACGGATATCACCCACCCGACAGTTCACTGTTCGGTTGGTACGTAATCCACATGACTCATAGGGTGGATTATCGATTCTTGTGTTCTGCATTAAACTATTTATAGTTTAAGGGCCTGGTTAGAATTAC